TGCGACTGTAACAGTATATTATATAGACTGTATGCTAAAATTATTACCCGTTTTTTTTTTTTTTTTTTTAACCAACCGCGAATATTATTGCTCCATAAATGGCGAATGGGAACAATCAGCCCGGCGTGTGACTGCGGCCGTCTACGGAGTTCGAAATATCAGCCGCATTGTAAACGAATGCCCAATGAGATCGTCCGAGGGGATGATCGACGAAATCCATAGTAACGCATCCGGCGACGCACGTGCAATTCATAACGCGGACTCCAAATCGACTAGTATAATTATTATATGGGCCTTGGACGCATTCATTCGTCGTGTTTTTGTATATTTCACGACAGTGTAGCGGTGTACAATACGACAATAGTTGTAATAATAATTGCTCGAAACGCGTGCATTTAATCCGCCCTCGGTCTTCGAAACGTAAACGCGATAAATTCGTGTTTTTAACATTTTAATAAATATATACGGTCGATATCGATTATTTATATTATCGTAATTCGTCATCTCAGAACGTTTATTTTATTTTTTTTTTTTTTTTTAGAAATTAAAACCTATGACCTATATTTTTATTCTGCTGCATTATCCCATCCTATCCTACAATATTATAAATACGAAAGTTTATTTGGATGTTTTGTTATCCCGCCGCGCCAAAGGTACTCAACGTATTGATCTTAAACTTTGCACAAATATATGTAGTTTTAGTCCAGAAAAAATCATATACAGACTATTTCTCTCGCCGTCGAATTCAACCTCTAACGTGGCGTATCCACATACGCCACACGGCAATACCGAAATAATTTGATAACTCGAACGGACGAAACTCATCAAGAAATACGTTTTTTTTTTTTTTTTTTTATAATAATTTGTGCAGTAGATAATAAAATATTTAGGCCGGTAGGAAACGGTATAGCAATACAATACCTACAGCGGATACGTTTTCGAAATAGAATACGATTTCGAGCTTAAAACGAAAATAATATTTGTACACAGTTATATACAATCATTATAAATCGCCGGTTTCCCGGTGTAAGTTTCGGGGTTTTTTTTTTTTTCAAACACAGTAGGGAACCGAGTCCATGAATCATCGTCCGTGCATCATATTTCGGTGTACCTATAAGAGGTTTTATTTTATTATTATTTTTTTTTTTTTCAAAACAAATAACTTTTCCTTTCATTATTTTAACATTAATTTAAACGAGGTCATTAAACGAGTATATTATTATTATTATTATTATTATTATTTGTACAAATGTCGGCAGGTACGTTTCTTTGCCTTACTATAGTGAAAAAAGAAAAAAAAAAGAAATAAGAGTAAAATCGTGTTATACATTAATAATATACCTCGGCTGTGCAATAATGAATGAATATTGTACCACGGCGTACGACTGCTGCAGCAATTACAGCGCGGCATTATAATAATTCTCATTCGGTATTAGTCACTATACGAACTACGACGGTGACGTAAAATGTTTTGTATAATAAAAATAACTGGCGGAAGGAGGGAGAGAGGACAGGAAAAATTCATTTTTCCGTCGTCGTGTTGTGCATATAAGTAAACCGTTTTTTTTTTTTAAAATCGTTTTGAAGTGTTCTCATGTGCGTGGACGTCTTTATATTATATTATAATCGTAATTTTTTTTTTTTTTTTTTTTAAACAAAATTAATATTATAATATAATATTATGTTTTATACAAAGGTTTTAACAAAGCATTATAAATACAAATGCCTATACTAGGCTGCTATTCGTTTGGCGGTGCGCATATGAATTATAATTTACCGATTTAATCGATCAAGTAATCGAATTGTCTTAAATTTATAAATTGTACGTGCGTATAAAACTAAAACGGTTTCGTTATGAATTTTTGACGATGACGTCACAACGATAGATATTTCTTTTTTAATTTTCAAATCAGTCAACTACAAAAAAAAAAAAAGGTCCAAATGTACAAGCATATTATTTTTATGTGAAGGGGCTCGATGTCGGCTTAATACATTTTTCATTGTCCTAATTTGTTGGAAAACTCATTGTTAATTATTATAATACTACCATTTTTTACCATTTTTTACTTACCATTTATTTTTTTTTAGTTGATATACATTTCACAGACCGCATTGAACTTAAATTTTTCATTTGGTTTCAAAAAACCGTATAAAAAAAAGTCCAAAACTGATCCCTTTATTTTAATATATATTTTAGGATGAAAATACGGAAAACGGAGTTCAATTCGGTATGTAGAATTCTATATCGACTATTTCTACGAGGCATTCGGGTTTTTCCCGTATAAACCGTATTTTTGAGTCAAAAAATGCGCTGGCTGCACCGTTATAACCGCGAGAATGGACCACCTTAATATTTTACGTCTTCTCCCGGTAAAATGATTTAGCCCCGGATAAAATTTCACAAGAGAAATAATACACTCTTGGTTAACTATTAGTGGGATAAATAATCACTAGTGAAATTGTACACTACCTCTCTGCCCCCGGTAAAAGCCAGCGTCAATAATCACCGGCATACCTGGTCTGCAGACAAGAAACACAATAAGAAATTAAATTAAAGATTCGATTCACTCTAAAATGTCGGAAATAGTGAGATGCAACCATTTTCGTTGCGACAGTCGATAAAATAAAATGCGTACAACACAGACAATATTGTATTCATGTTCGACGAGAATAGGTAAACCTACAGGGTAAATCCACCTATTATATTATTATAGTTGTTAAACCTCGGTACCATAACCGTACCTCGTGTGCAACGTTGTAGCACTAAAATTGCCTGTGCACAGGCATTAGTGGTAGTCGGAATGTTTAATTCGGTCGCGAAAACTTCAAATCGTTATAATATTTAGTTTGCGAACCGGTAAAACGCGTATATTTGAATTTCCCGCAAAAAGTTACGCGGGCCAACCTATATCTGTACGCAGGTAGAATTCTATAATAATTAATGATCACGCACAACTCGACAAACGCTTTGTACGCTCTATGCGCGTGTAGTGTTTGTAAGTTGCGTTAATATCGTTTAATAAGTTAGCTATAGGTACATAGTTACGTGTATACACAAATCCGGCAAACGCTCCGTTTTCCGATTCAATTTCGGCCGCCGGCAGTGTATTACAAATCGTTATAATATTATATTACCGTCTATTTGTAACGCGATTATTGTGTATACGGATTGCGCATAAACGGTTACATGCTGTATGACCTGTATTATACGGGTTCTACGGGTTTTTTTAACACACGCTATGCTTATAAACAGTACCCGTATAAAAATCCGCGTCGAGAGTAACCGAATCCATAGGCGCAACAAGGGGGTAGCTTGGGGCGGGGGTTCGGTCCGTCCGGTTTTTCGAATAGCCCCCCCCCTCCGTCCTTCAGTTACGAAGAACATAATTAGATATATATTATTATTTTATAATAATTATTTGTATTCGTCTTTATGACCATAATATTACATTTTGAAATTTAAGCAAATCAATTTGTTTGAGGCTACAGACCCGCCGGAATGTTTACCCCGCTCGCACCTATTACCGGATCGCTATAATACCATGCCTAGGTATGTGCGTTTCAACGGGGCTATACAGATGTGGACTTATTTTCCTAACTGTAACCGTAATATTAGCCGGGAATATAATAGAACTCTTAAACCGATTTGTTTGTCCTACAATTCTCAAATAATTCAATAAAAAGTGTTACATATTTATTTTTCAACAATTATTTTAGTACGAATGGTATTTTGAATATAAATTTAAACATTTGAAATGGACGTCTTCGGATTGGACTTTCGTTTGATCTGGAAAAACTCGCACAGAACAGTGTCGGACGCAACGCCCTAATAGATTGTTAAACAGGAAATCTAGTGACTCTGAACATACCACGTTATGTTCGATTTAGGTGCCACAATGTGTTATGTAAAAATCATGCTCAGTGAGTAAATATCTCCAAATAAAATTGAAAATTTGAAAAAATATTGTATCGCCTTAAGGCTCTAAGCATCGCCCCACCCCACAAAAATGACTTTAAGATCGAAAACCGCGAAACAAAACTTCGTAATCTCATTGAAAAGAAACACGAAACGAATACGTAACAATACGAACGTCCCGCAGCGTGTTCTGGGAAAATAACATAGTAATGCACGTCAAAATCCGCATTCCGTTCAATGGCGGGCGGCCATTCGTCGAATCCCGGCTCAATTTGAAATGTTGAATGCAAAAGTCCACCTTTCAAACATCGCCAGGGCGCATATTATAACGACGAACAGAACTCGCGCGTCGTCGAAAGTTTCAGAAACGGGCCAATAATAAAATTCCGTACCGCCGCTAAATTTCCGCGCTGGCTCTCTGCTCGCTCCGTCAAGAGCCACGCCGCAGCCAGTTTCGGCGCACAGCGGAACAACAACAAACGGAGTGCGATGCAACGCGCGAAAATAATAACGTAAAATACGGTCGGTTTATTATTATTATTTTATACACGACGGACGAGGTGTAGAATATTCAAAAACGCGTCATAAATCTAATTGAAACACGCGCGTTTATTGTCGCCGTCGTTATTGTGCGGTGGAAATCGCGGACGAATAGCGCGCGACGCCACAGAATTATTGACCGTTCGAAATTTCGTAGGCGCGTCAAAAGCGCGTTTTTGGCGCTTTATATTGTCCCGCGGTATCAACGGGCCCCCGTCGCGACCAGAACGTATAAACTATACTATACTATAACGTCATCTGTTGTGCACAGAGAAAAGAAAAAAAAAAAAAATGAACTAAACGCGTATTTTTTCACGCGAAACAGTTGGGTGTTTATAACGATTATATCACGTTTTAATGGAATGTAAAGGTGTAACAATATTGTTCGCGGATCCACGACGACCTAGCCAACCGCGCGAATTGTTCTATACCGACGTACGAAAAGCGAGTCGTGGTCCATTGCACCGACGACATTGAAGGACAGACCAGATAAATACAATTGTACTTAAATTTTTGAAATCCGGGTGTCACGGCGAAAAAGCTATTAGTTTCACTTGAGTGCGGTTTTTTTTCTCTCGGCGAAAAACTTTCGGCTAGTAAAAACTAAAAACGTTCCGAGTTTTTCACGGGGTGTACCCGTGTAATAATAATAGATATAGAATTTACACGCGGTGGACATATTTTACTTGAACATTTTTTTTTTTCCTTTATTACTACAGCATTGCCGAAACTATGAATTCTGAAGTCCGTGCGCGAGAATTTATTCTAACTTTAAACGTAACTACGATTAATCGTAAATATTTGTCTCTCGGAAACTCAACAAATATTTAAAAAGAACAATTTCGAATATCAGATTTTGGTTTTCTTAGACGCCTTATGGCCGGTGGCTCGAGTGCTCAGTTCCCACACCCTCCAATTATCTCGACGCTTTTCATTAGATCCGTTGATTTTTTTTTTTTTTTTGTTTTCGAAAAATATCGTACGTCCCGAATGATTCGTTTTGTTCTTTATCGCGACGGGGATAACGGCGACAGAACGGAGCCGTCCGCTAAAAAGCCGGGACGAGCGTCCTACAATCCTACGTCCGTAACCTAACCGCGTCCTAATCTGACACGAAGGGTGACGAAATAGCGTAACGTTTTCGTACCGTCGTCGGACTTTGGTGGCCACTCGAAACGCTCGAAACGGTTACGTTACATTTTACGGAAAGTAGTGGGTGGGAGCAGTGCGGTCCAACCTCGTTCGCGGTCCGCGGACAGATTCTGTTATTATTTTCGACCGTTGTTATGCACAATTGTATATTGACCCCGATAGACCGTACTTTTCTCTAATAATGACGGACGGGGGAAAAAAAAAAAAAAAAAATAACAAATATGATTTCGATAAACCTCGCGGCGTGTGCTCGTGCGATACCCGAGGGTCGTGCTGTTTATCAAGTGAATTCATACCGTATTTTGGAACGGACAGACACGTGAAGCCGGACGGAGACAGCGGCCGGACGACGGCGTGGACGGCTGCACGCGTTGACAGCTGCACGGCCGGTCGCCGCGGAATCCTCGGGGGTATAAAACGGACGGCACTCCGCGCGAACGCACGAGAAAGCGGTTTTGTCAACGGGGCGGAACGCGCGGCAAACGTCTCGTCGTCGTCAGCGCCGTTGACGAAAACGGATTTTCTTGGCCGACATATTATCCGCGCGCACGCCGACGAAGAAATAACGCGCCGCACCGCACCGCGTTCGTGTTTACTCAATATCCCGAACGCACACCGTACGCGCACTATTGCACCGCGATATTGCCAAAAAAATATTATGTATTTTTTTATTATTTTTTTTTTTTTTCGTAATAGAACGCGATACGGCGCCCGCACACAAAGATCGCCGCAACGTAATTTTTTTTTTTTTTTTCGAGTTTTTCGAAATTTTCACACCGTTATTTTCGGGTTTTTCACGGTCGACGACGAATAAAACACCGCGCGGCAATTATTGTTTATTCTACGCCGTTATAATATAATCTGTCGATCGAGTTTCTCCGGCCGTTGCACTACACCGGGATGAAAAACAATAACAAAAAAAACAATAAAAACGGTTAACCCCGTAGAAATAAGAAAAGAATAAAAATGAACGAGACGACGAACGAATGCGGACGAAAAACTGTCGCGGGCGCGGTACTCGCGACAGCACGGGACGGACGCACAACGGAAACTCGGGACGGACGCCGGCAAGCTGCTGGCCCGTCGCTCGGTGGCGGCGGTGGCGGCGGCAGCGGTAGCAGCGGCGGCGGCGGTGATGCCGCGGAGCGTCGCCGTAGTCGGCGACGGCCACCCGGTGAAACTGCGCCGGCGCCTCACGGTCGGTCGGCAATTATCGGCTACTTATAAAAATGTCTTCGAATTATTTTTTGTCTTGGCCGGTCGGCTTTTTTCCTCCCCCCAAAACCGTTTTGTCGTGTCGCGCCCTCGCGATGTGTACACTGTGCACCCTACAGGGACACGGACAAGCGGTCGAGAACGACGAGGACGCGCGACCCGAGTGAGACGACGACGACGACCGACCGAGCGGAGGACGGCTACGGTTTCGGCCGCAGCAACCGGTGGCAGGGTCCCGGCCGTTTAAATCTGGGCCGAGCATTTCGATACGTATAAAAAGGAACTCGAAATTTGACAAGTTGTAAACTAAATGAACGAAATCATGTCAAAAATTGATTCGCGTTCTTCTTTCCCGTGACCTTCAGATTTACCGCGATATGTCAGCCGAGATTGATTTATTGAATACAAATTGGCTGTTTCGTATCCGGTTTATTGTCGGGATAGGTATAACCCAGAAGACGATTCAACGATTTATTTATTGATAAATGATAAGTCAACTTAAGTAAGTAAAGATAATTAAGTACACTCTTGCTCTTCGATAAAAGGTTTCACCTCTTCTAAGAGCAATGCCAGTTTTTTTTTTTTCTCTCATCTTGTATATTATAATCTTACCTGTATCTCATCTATCACTACCACTATAGAATTATTATTTAACTCATTTAAGAACGGTGATTAGAAAACAAGAGGTTCAATCCTCTTCTTTGTACCATGACTATAGTTCGTTTACTCTACACGTTTAAATTCTCTCCAAATTAATATTTTTAAGTACGCCACAATGTGCAGAAAAATCGGTTTTCAACGTTTCGATAAAAATTCTCCTGAAACCGCCATCTAAAATCGGTTGAACATTGATTTTTAAACTATATACACACTGTTCAGTTTTCAAAACGATTTCTTATATTTCCGTGTCAGACGCAATGATAAAACTGCAGTTGTTGGAAAACTATATTGTTTATGTTGTTGTTTTTCCGCCTATGATGACTCCATTTTCGCGGTTAAGGTTTTCGGTTTGCAGACAAATAACGATGATAATAATAATAACCCGCAGGGCGAGACGCTCCTCGGATGACAAATCGTTGGCACCGTCCACTTCATTAATTTTCGGGACGTTTCTCGCGCGGGTCAAAAGTCATACGTATACCTTATAATAATTCGTTCATGTTATTCCGTCGAATCGTGTACGGTAATCGGTATACGTCACGGTATAATAATAATAATAATTACAATAATAATACTATAATATTATTATAATCAAAAGTTTAAAAATACATTGCTTGTACTCTCTGCAGAAGATTACAGGTTACCTTTGCTTAGGTTTTCTGGGTGTGATACAATAGGACACGCACGCGCTACCGCCGCCAGTCGATTAATATCATAACAAAAGACAAACGACTTACTTCTCCTCCTCCTTCTCCGCCGTCACCCATGACGAGACGTTAAAGTGCACGACAAAAGGACACATAAAAAATACGCGTTTGTTTGCGTGGCCGTTTAAAGCCAAAGTTATTTGAAACATTTCGTCACGTGCGTTTTGTACTTTTGGTGGACATCTCCGCACACTGCCTAAACACACACACATACACACACACACACACACACACACACGTCAGCATCGTCGGTTTTAAGGCTGTGGGTTCACACAGAGTATATACTAAGAAGTAAATAGGCATGCCAGTTAATAGTCGCCGAGTAAATTAACTAAATATTTGGAGCTGGTCAAGTTTAGTCGTCAATTATTTGGCCTTTGCCTACCGTGACGAAATATTTCATATACGAGTCACAGTATGGCTTGCAATACAATTTTAGCGTACAATAATATTTGTGTGTATTATTTTGGTTTTCTGTGACTCGTTCATCCACTTAACCCTCCGGCAAGTATTCTAGCTTTTACATTTTTACATGGCAGTGTCTACCGTCTATATAATGCCGGACCGGATCATAGAGAAAAAAAAATCAAATTATCGACTTGGTCTGGTCTAATAACGTTAGGAAGAATCTGATCGAAATTACTCTCGTTTGAATTCGATCCGGTAAAGGCAGTCTTACAGGACCGAAAGTCCAGTCCTCGTACACAATAATACATCGGATTAAATTACCAGTCCGGTACAGTCTGAAAAAAAAGGAAAAATAACAGTCGGTTCGGCCGTCCGTTAAAATTTTAAGATTTGGTCCCTAAAATAAAGAGCACTAATGCGAAATACCGCACAAAAATATTTTTTCCTCCGCAGTTCTTTCTATTTTATTACCTATATTATATTATACATACTTATCTTACTTACTTACTTAACCTACCTGTACTTACAATAGCAGAACTGTATGCGATCGACGACTTTTAAATGGTCCGTTATCGTACCTATGTATTAAATTACACGCGCGCAATATTGTTGAGGTATATTAGATTTTTAATGGATACCTACCACTTTTTTTGTAAGAAGAAAATGCGCATAAAGACACAGAATGATAAAGGTACCATTTCACGACAATAAATACGACGAGACACACCATGTATACTGTTATAATATGTATTGCGTACACGTGCGATACACTACTATAATATATACAATACATGCCTACTTTATAATGAATTTAAATTTGTCCGTTCGACTGTCATCATCGCATCATGAACTTTTCCTGCACGTGTCTATGTGTAGACGCGTAGCGCACGCAAAGGTGACAAACCTGCTATATGGCACTCGAACAATTGAATAGTGAATTCGGGTGTGGGATTAGCATATACTATACGACACTTAAAATGTCAAGTGGAGGTTATCCTAATATTATTATACGAAATATAATATAGACTCTGTATTATTAGATTTAATTTCTACGTCTACATAAGATACGAAAAAAATGTATTGTTTATCGTATAGTTTGACGGTATTTAATCCGGATTCGCTTACTAGATCGAGAATCCGGATTATTCATTCCGTTTTTTTTTTGGAAATCCGGATTTCAGATTTTGGACTTAAAATAAATCGAATAATTAGTATTTGTTTTATACGATTATTCAAAAACCAATCATAATAACTATCATGTATTAGGTATTTAATATAAATACGGAGGAGGGACGATTCAAATTTAAAAAAAAAAACAAAATTTAAATATATATGCAAAATTTAACCAAACAAATAGGGTGAGCACGCTTATTGAATCATCCTGTGTATTTATTTGGTTGCGGTGACTTTCTGTGATCTAGAGTAAATATTGGTTTTATTCTTTTTGTTTGATCAGAACAGCATTGAAATCTTACATCAGTTTGGCGCACTGTTCCGCCAATTTGTTCTCTGCCACACAACTTTAAACTTTTTTACGAGCGCTAAAAATAGCTTTATTATTTTCCCACGAACTCGGATATTTTTGTATAAATTTGAATCACGCGACGCAAAAAATCTGTGCACTATTTTCAATGATAAAATCTAATAAGTTTTTATTTAAAAAGTGTTTATTTTATCTACGTGAATCCGACGAAGAGGGTTAAAATTTTCTAGAGCGATCGCGTTTCTTCTTTTTTCCTCCACTGATACGCGTGGATCAAATATAGCTAAACCTAACAGCATCTCACTCAAGCACCATAAGTGACCAGAAAATTGTTTCAACCTCTTCTCAGAAATTCTACAATTGATGAAGTTATATTCTATGAGATCTTTCAACATTGTAAGATCATTCAATGGCGCCTGAATCGGATTTTGACATGCATACTACATTTAAATGTAGACTCAGGTGATAAAAACATTACATTTACAAATGTCATTCAAATTAACTGCTTTCAATTAGAGTTGATCACGAAAAATTTATATTTTTAAAAAATATATTATAATTTTCGCCATCCAACATAGATTGTACAATTATATAGTGGTATTAGTGTTTAGTTTAAGAAAAATAAAATACAATTTTGGAAAGGACAAATTTAAAATGTATGTTTTAAATTCGTATTTCTATAAGAAAATATCTCACCTATTTTGTAGTTTTATGCTGTTTTACAAATTTAATAAGGATTATATTGTAATTTTTTCAAACAATAAACAACTTGTTTAAGGGTAGTTCTAGCTGACAATTAATCAACATGATTAAGAAATCTATTCAGTTCTAGTGGCTTTGTAAGTTTTTAATTTTTTATTTCTTATCAACTATAGGAACATATTTGTTCCTTATTAAATTCTGATAATTTACCCTCGTGCCATTTTTTAGTTAGCTATAATTTAAATCGTACAAAAATAATATACATACAAATTTTCGCCTTATTATTTACCTAAAATCGCCACACAAAAACCTGAAAACTATTTTTTAGACTCTCCTAATTTATTGAATAGGATTTCCCACGAAAATATACCCGTAATATATATTACTACACCTTGGAAAGTATTAAATCGTTTCGGAACTTTTGTTTTTACTGTTTAAGAAACAAGTAACATGTAAAATTAAAACAAACCTTTTTGGTCAACCATATTTTTATGAACGAAATAAATTTTTATATTTAAATAGCAACCTAAATTCAGTAACTCCACAGATACATGGAGTGTTAGTTTAAATACCTTTAGGTGTCGATTTTTTCGTCGACCAGTTTACGAAATATTCCACTTTTAACTTAGATAGGAAGAGTACAGTGAAGTACCATTTGTGTAGTGGCACGGCGTGCGGCGTTTGACAGAGCTCCACAACTCTCCCCTTAACCGAACTTTAAAGAGTAAAATCTTGTCAAAGGGTCGACAGCAATCAAAATTCTCAACACCAAAACTTATTTAAACGAATACCTCGTTTCTCGTCTAATTATGCGTTTTTATATTCTGAGTGTAATGAAAAATGTATTGGTTTTACAAAGATAATAATTTGTT